CATTGTGGCATGACTATATTTACATTATTTGCTCATCGTTTGCTGCACTGGTGTTGGTACTCGTCCGGGCCAAGGCCAATCTTTCACATGTATGTGCACATCGCACCGTACGCTCACTTTGGATCCATTGTAGGTGCCAATCCTATCGTACATGTTGCATTAGGCAACTCTGACTTGTATGTGCTGCACATAGCGCCAGTCATCACATGATTGTAGTATTAGAGCGTATATCATTGTTACACCGAGTCATGTTCATGTCAGAATACCTCTGCATGAACTCGTGTGTCAACATGTGTCGATGAGCACTCGAAATGATATGTTTGTTTATGCGAGAATATGTGATTACAGACGTTAGGTATTTATTTACGGAAGTTGTGACATATGACATTCTTAAAATACAGCTGGCTATGGTAAGTATTTTCATACTATACGGAGTATGTATATTTTGGAAACTATACTTGTTTTACGGCTAGGGGTTATTGTGTTTTCGAAAAGGTTTTTGCAAAGCTTTATTTTTAAGCCCACTCACTCTTGTTTTTCGCCCCTCCAGGTTTTATTGCTGAGCTTTCGTATCGACGATGATTCTTGTTAAATCTTGATATAGATGATTACCTTCGATGATATAATTCTTAACCTACACTACTGTACTTTACTTATACTCTGACTTCACATGTGATATTGGTTCATTCCCGCTTAATAGCGTACTGTTATACTTAGCCACTTTTAGATTTAAATTTATTCACATTTTCCACATCACTACACTTTATAGCTTTGTCACCTTCCAAGTGTCAGCCAACACAACTATATTCGAAATCCTAGTGGACATTCCAGGTCGAGGTGTGTCAACTTCCACCTTTAACAAATAAGCTAGGCCAAAGTCCATTTTTAGGTCAGCCCCCGCCCCCCCCCCCCAAGCAAAAAAAAACCCACTCCACCTGCGCAATAGGCTGACCCAAAGTCCACCCCAGCTTCTAGGCTGGACCAGAATGCACTTAGTGAGGAACCGACCCATCTGATGTCATGCTGACGTTAGCATGATGTCAACCATGGGTTGAGTTTTTTTTTTTTTTTTTTTTTTTTTTTTTTTTTTTTTGCAGGGGCATGGCAAACACATGCGCGTGAGCGCACGTTCCTGACAACTCATAGAGGTGGGGCCCATACTACAGGTGCACTAACTGGGAAGTCGGAGTTGGGCCATGTAGTGCGTTGATGGCCATTTGATAATTTAAGAACCTTCAAGAATAATTTAAGACCTATTGACCAAAAGTTAACCGTCGATCATTGATCGACGGTAAGGTCTACAACCTTGTATAACTCAATTCGGAAGATTCGCATACCAGATTTCCAATCTGTACTTCTAAATATCCACATTATGCTTCTAGAATAACAAACTAAAATTTTATTACGATCCAACGGTTAGATCCTCGCCAATTCCCAAAACTGATTAGTGATTAACGTTTTATTTTATGAACTTACAAATCCAATTCGGAAAGATCTGTACGTAGATTCTTAATCCGTAAGTTCCTACATTCTTCAAATATTATGTACTACAATGTAACAAAGTTTGGTGACGATCCAACGGTTGGATCGTCGATTCACATAAATACCTAATAACGTATCGTAGAGAATTTAGGTTCCAACGATCAACCTACGTCATTCAAATATCAAGACTAAATTCAAGACATTTCACATAGCCTAAAAATAGCATTGGCAGCCCACTGGCCACGCGCCGCCATGGGTGGCGGTCGGCAGCCCCAACTCGCAAGAAAATCCAACTATTTCAAAAAATTACCAAAATTTACAAGAATGAAGATCTCAAAGAGAGGAACAACTTTCATACCTGCCATAAAGTCCAAAAGTGGACGGAAGGGGGTCAATTTTTCCCACAAAGCCGGTAGGTGCCTAAAACTTCCCGACGTCGATTCGTCGTCTACGGTGGTCCAACGGGGTCAAGATTGGTTGGGATTTTCTCCTGGGATGATGGGCTACAAAGCCCAAGTGGTGGCATCGGCCATCGCTTTGCCGCTTTGCCGGAAAATAGAAAAAGTTGGTCGGAGTACTATTGATTTTCGTCGACTTTCATGGCCTTAAACCGCCACATACTGTGGTTAATCAAGGTGGTTCATGGGTGGCTTTTGTAGAGGGGAATGAGAGCTTCAAGATGGTGGTGGCATCGAAAATCTCCATCGGAGTTGGCTGGAATCGGCCTTGGAAATGGAAGCTCGCAGTGGGTGTGGGTCGACGGGAAGGCTACTCCCTTTTTTTTTTTCATCTTTTTCTGATTTCTCATTGGTCCTCCATCCCTTTTAATTTGATTGGTCCCTTTTTCTCTTTACTTTAGGCTGATTAGTTATTCTTCTCACAATGTGGGAGTTCAAATAATTTAACTACTTTTAAATAACCAATTTCAAACGTCCGTAATTATACCGTTATAATTCGGACTCGCAAACAGCTTTCGCCTATGCGTTCGTAGTGGCAAGTACTACGAGGATATGCTGAAAGAATAAGTCATACGTCACTCTAACCAATGATCAACAGAAGTCAAAGTCCTTGCCTCTAGGGCATTTTCATAAACTCACGCTTCTAAAATTAATAAAAACGTAAAATTTAGGACGGATTGTCACAGTTTCAGCGTTATTTGCATTTGTATTATCTTTCTCAGTATATTTCTTTAGTATTATCTTAATTTCTTCCTTTGTTTTCGGGTGTTTTGGACCCAGCTTATATCCAATTGCATCAAAAAAGCCCACACAAAAAAAAAAAAAAAAACAAGAACAATATTGAAACTAGAACGAAAAAGGCCCTCGCTGATGATGCTACCCATCAGGATCTATATATGCAAAAAGAGATGCCCCAAAACATTCTACAAGTTCACAGCACATCTATCTCTGTCTCTCCCCATTCCTATCTAGTAATTCTTTTGACCGCTCTTGGGTAAAAAGGTAAAAAAAAGACTCTAAAAACCTAGCCTTAGCAACAAAACAAGACCAGAAATTAACCCAAACCATGCCTACATTGTTTTGATACACTTTCTTACGATCCCTAATCAGCCAAATCCAAAACTATACAATCGTTGGATTAAAGGCAATCATTTTGTGTTCTGAATCCGTCTGTTTTCTTCACTATAAATGGATGTCTTAATGGTTTTGCATTTTTTTTTTATTACACAAATGATCTAGAAATGATTGATAATTTGAAATACATACATTCACTTTCACATTCACATTCTTGAACAAAATTACAGAGTGAGCTCTAAGAAAATTTGTCAAAATGTTTGGTTGAAAAGTATGTGACCCCGATCATGACCATATAATATGTTAATGAAACCAACAAAGCTATCACATATAATATAAATTTACTCCACCATTTGATGAACATAAATATGTATTACACAGACCTGTGCTTAAAGCATAGGTGACAATACAGAAAAGCACCAGCGCTCGTGCTATGGCCATCTTCTAATCTTCAGCTTTTTTCTGTGTACTATTTCACTTAACCAGCCATGATATATTAGCATGTATATATATGTGATGGCTATTGTGGAGGGAGAATGGTGTATATCTAGGAAATTAATGACCATTTAATTTAGAGATGATTTTGTTGAAGGTTAATTAGCACTTTTGAACTATTAGGGATATGCTAAGGATTATTAATATTTCCTTTTCAGATCAGGCGTGATCAACAGTGAATTTGTTGAAGACTCCTTAATTTTTATTTTTCTTTCAAAGTTAGGTTTTTTTAAATAAAAAAATATTAAAGAAGGGTTCGAAACAATTACAATAATTTAAAAGAGAAAAGTGTTCAAACTTAGGATGAATGTGTGAAAACCCAATACTCTATCCAATATTTTTTTTTTCAAAGTTGTGACTTTAATAATTTTGTAAAAAAAATATATAAATCATCATTGCACTTTTGGGGTGTGAAGGATAGAAAGTAAGCTTATTTTTAGCAAGAATCCATGTACTCTCAGCAAGTCTCATTGCCTTATCGAGAAAAATCGTCCATTCGATTGCATTGAACTCTAGATCAATTCTTTTTCCAATTCTTAGTGTTTTTTTTTTCCTACAAAAGGGGGACAACTTGTGGCAAACTATGATTATGCAACCCTTTCGGGTCTGGAAAGATTATGGAGAATTTAACTCTACTCGTGGCCACAGTCAAGCAAACTCACCAGTCTAAACATCGAACCCAAAACTTCCAATATTTTTTTGTTTATTGGGGAGCCACAGTGTAATTGTTAATATATCAATTGGAACAAACATGTTGCATGCTAAATACCAAATATATGCAATTTAATTACCTTCGTTTTTTATTCTTTTATTCAAGTTAATTTTCTTTTGGTATAACAGTTGTTGACCATATCTTTAACATTAACTTTCCAAATTAAGTTTTTATACTACAAATTCAATGAATTTTTCTTACTATGTTTTTATTCCAAATTTATTTCAATTGACCGTTTGGACATGCATTTAATGTTTCTATTAATAACCTATTGTTTTCAAATTGGTGAAAACAAAAATCCTTCAGTTACATAACATTGGTTAACAATTATATTAAATGCATAACGGTACAATCTTTTTGATTTAATTTGTTTCAACTTTGAAAATAAAATATCGATCTTGATTGAAAGATGTACATAATTATGTAATTTACATTTTCGTTTTATTTATTTTACATCTAAATGAGGCGGACTTCGTAAGTTGAAAAGAATGAGAGAAGAAAGCTACAACGTGAAGTGAGAGAGGAATCACATGAAACATCTCCACGTTTGAGTAGAAATAATATTTACATTTCCCAAAATTATAAATGCTATGTAAATATAATTTTCACAATTAAAACAAATGCAGAAGCAACAGAACAATGATGTCTATTATTGACAATTCAAAAAAATCATCATGCACTTCAAACACGTAAAAACTTAACAAAGCATCAATAACAGCTCTTTTAAACAATATTATTTAAAGAAACGTTTGTATAGTAAAATGAAAGAAAGAGTTTTTATTATCATAATTTGGATTACATACGATCCATTACCCATATTCAAATAATTAATTATTTGTTCGATCAAATAATTAATAATTGAATGCGACAAAATAAAGCATTGTGCTTTCAATAAGTGACCCTTCTTGTAGCTAGATTTTGAGGAATAGTCTTCCAGGAAGCTTGATTTCAAAGGCATTATTCAATTTACCCTGCAAATAAATTACATCCATGTATTGTTAGCATGCTAATTTCTAGTAAAATTCAGTAACAAAAACGGGCATGTGTATAAATTAACACAAGGCTTACTCGGAGCAGTTAGTAGAGGGGTAAACTGTGTAGGGGCAAGGAGAACCACATCGATCCCCAAGCGTGTTAACTCGGTCATAATCTAACCCTGGAATCATTGCAGCCCCTTGTTGAATGCAGCTGCACGCAGTTCTTCGATCCTCCGCGGTGTTTTGTATATCATGCAGGCCTTTTATGCCGGCACAACAATCTGGCGGCACGTCTCCTCCAAACACTCCAAAGGGGATGCATGGAGTGAGTAATGTGACGACCTGACCACAAGTTACCGTTGCATTAACGGTGTAAGGAGCAGTCACAAGCATCGATAATAGCACCACCGTGAATGCCGCCCTAGACACCGCAGGTCCTTGCCAAAGTTGCTAGATTTGTAGTTAATACATTTTCTCCTTTAGGTTGTTTGGGCAGGAAACACACATGTTAATTGCCCTTATATACTGGAGAGCCTTGCAATCACGTGTGTGACAAAACGTTGTCTGATTATCTGTTAGCATTGGACATAAGGGGCTGCAGGAAAATTCAAATTTTCGTGCACCGAATGACCCACGGCCGGAAAATGAGTGCAGAAAAATACAAAGGGTCCTGATCGAGTGAGATCATGTCGACAAAAGGGTTCCGGGAGGAACTTGAGGAGGGAAAATGGCCGAGACTGTTTTAGAAATGCATGCCAAGGGACAAAGAGAGATGGGACACTTTCCACAAAAATGAAGCTTCCGTATCTCTTCCTCTACTCGGCAATATCCCGGTGTCACCAACGCAAGGTTGGAATTACAGCACGGTACTGTCAGGCTGATAAAATAGTCGAGGCAGTGTCAGCTTTCGGAACTACCTCTACTGTTTTTGTTGTATCTGAAATTACTTGATTTCCTTGTTCTTTCCTTCTGACTTTTCTGATGGAAGAAGAAGAGTGGGTATGTCCTGGCAAGAAAATTCAAAACGATGATAGCCCGATTTCGATTTCATCGAGTTCTAAATTCTAATTCATCATATGCATTTTTCTTTCTTTGGCTTTGGCAATTATTTCTCAGAGTTCTTCTATTTAAACACCACCTCATATCTACGACTCCTTGATATAAATCGTACATATTGGAACAAAAATAAAGTTTTAAAGAGTTAAGTGGCAAAATTTGAACTCCCGAAGTAAAGTGAGATAGAAATTGATTTAATGGGACACAAAACCGAGCACAATGAACTTCTAGGATTAATATAGCCGACTCCACTTAGTGGAGCAAGACTTTGTTTTTATTGGTATATTTACACCAAGGAGCAGACGATTTAGGTCAAGCCACATAATGTTTCAATATCAAACACGTCATAAGAGTCAAACCTAAAATCTCTCATTTACAAGTGAAAAAAAAAATACCACTAGACTATCGTACATTAGTACTAGTTGATAAAAGGACACTACAAAAAACATCTTTCATCCACATCCTGTAGTTGTACAAATATGTAAAAAGTTAATGTACACGTCCGATAAGGTACCAGATGACCAAAATACAACCGAGCTGACAATTCACAGGTGCCGCTACCCTTCCATGTTTCTCCACTTGTCCTTTAGATCAACCTGGAAGGACATGGTAACCCCAAAAGTCTAAGACACAATATTGACTGATGAAGTAGAGACATTTCAGATGAATAGACAAACTTGTTTACGGAATGTACTTATGAATAGGTGAAAGTCATTGAATATATTACGAAACATGGGTACCTCAGTTCTCTCTTCGAATATATCGCGGTAGCTATTCAAGATAAGTTTCCAGTTCCCTTTTCCATACCTTCAGTGAAAACGACCAAAACAATGAGACTCAGAAGCATACATAATGTTCAAACTAATATCAGATCCTACTTATCCAGTCAAGTTGTAATGACAGGTATTCTGTCAAGACTCAAGACCAGGACCAACCAAATGACCATCTAAATCATGAAATTTAGAGGGGGAAAACAGGGAAACAAAAAAGAGGCCAGAGAGAAGAATGCAACTTACTTCTGTACACCAGTCCTTAAGGTTTCTTCTTCCAATAAGCTCCATCTCTTAACTTTTCTTCTCTTAGTCAATTTGACATTCCCGTACTTCTTCAATGGAGAAACAGCAGTCCTCTTTGGGCTCGGGAGGTGAAGCCTGCCTGCATCTTTCTTTGTTCCTTCTTGTGATGTATCTATTGAGTCCTCCCACTGAAAAAAACAATTTTCAACATGGAGTACAAATTTATGCAACCAGAACCACAAAATTGCAGGAGGGAATAAACCATAATACAAACTGAATAAAATAACCTAACAGCAGAGAAACTCATGGATTCAGTAAAACGTTTATGAGGAATTTGTTATGTTCCCCTTGCCAAAGACAAAAGCAAATCAGGTCTCACACTCGAATAAAATGAAAAAAAAAAACAGCGTGAACTAAATACCTCGAAAGTACAGGCAGTACTATTACGTTCCATCAAGCTAGGACGAGCCACGTTATTCTGATTATTGAGAGAAGCATTTCTAAGATTGGCAGCATCAGTTTGAACAGACTCAGTGCCTCCCTGGTCGACAGGCGGATTTGGTACATCCTTTTCTATTCCACTAGATTGAGGATCATTCTGATGTCTGGATGGCAGATTTCCGACATTATCATTATTAGATTGAACAGGCCCAGCACCCTTCTCGATAGATGGATTATCTGCACCAACATTTCCATTGACATGATTTGCAGATCTCACTGCCAAACCAGATCTTACGGTCTCGGACACTCTTAATGCATCTGGAAGTGGATCAGTCACTACTTCTTGGAGCTCTGAAATACTGGATTTAAGTGCTTCTTGTGCTTTGTTAACTTCAGGGGAAGAAAGGGAACCAAATTTTCTATTTGGTACCTCTGTGCTTGAATCTTCAGCATCCCCAATCCTAATTGGTCCTCTAGTGCGTCTATGAGCAAGGTGCTTGTGTCTAGGCACAGCACTCTGATTTTCTACAAGAAATTAAAAAAAAAAAAAAAAACAGAAATATGATAATTCGAAACTGAAGTCTGCAATTACTATATTATGCGCGGGTTGGCAAGTTGTATATTTGGCAACGCTAAACAACCCAGAACAAGATCATGCACTTAAAAGAACAACAGATGACACTAAAATTACCTTAATCTCACCATCCACGCACATAAGTTAACGTCACTAAAATTACCTTAATCTCTGCTAATGAAAAAAAGTACCTTTATCTTTCGTGGTATGGTCAATACTGAGATCCAGTTCCCCATTCGCACTAGGCAAGCTCCCTGCCCGAACTTCTTTCAATGGGACTGCAACTGAAATGGGACCTAATTCAGACTCATCAACTAAATTTGTCTCATTCAATGGTTGCTCTTCCAATGCAGACTGACTGCCCACATTAGATCCATTCGTAGTTTGTGCCTGCCTTGTGACCGAACACCCTCATTAGTCCCATTAACAGTTTGTGATTCTGGCTCGGACCTATCAACCAGACTAGCTCCACTCATCATTTGTGCTTCCAATTCAGAGTCACCAGTCACATTAGCCTCCTTCCTAGTTTGCTCCTCCAATTGATCCCCGTCACCCACATTAGTCCCATTAACCATTTGCTCCTCCAATTCAGATCCATCACCCGCATCAGTCCCATTCTCCATTTGCACCTCCATATCAGACCGACCACCCACAGTAGTCTCATTCTCCGTTTCAGCCTCTAAATCCAACCCACGCACCCCCACGTATGCCTGGTTTGCCATTTGAGCATCCAATTCAGACCCACCATCACCACCCACGTTAGCCCTATTCGCCATTTGATTCTCCAATTCAGACACATCTGCCCCCACACTATCCCCATTCGCCATTTGTACCTCCAATTCAGGCCCGTCACCCGCATAAGCCCCCTTCTTCTTTTGCCCCTCCACTTCAGACCCACAACCAACATTAGCCTCATTGGCCACTGTAATCTGATCAGCTTCCAAGTCAGCAACTTCCTTGGGCACATTCAATCTAATAGCCCAAGTAATAAACGGAGGTCCCAACAACGCCAAAGCTGCTTTCACATAAACTGCAAGCAATCTCAGCGCATCATTCCTCGTGTTCATCCTCGACAGCTTCTTCGACACTCTCAAATCCCAAACCCCTGCCTCGACCTCATCCATTCGATGCCTCAACTCCGCCGATACCAGCTGGCTCCTCCCAGACCTTTCCAAAACCCTAACCCTCCCTCTCCAAATGCGATCCACGGCCTCCAAGTACTTCCCACTAGGCTTTCCCATAAAACCCACCAAGAACTTGACCGTACACTCAGTGGCCACGGCGCAGTAGGCGGCTTTCATGGATTCCGTGGTGGAAATGCCTTCTCTGATATCCAAATCCTCAATCGTTTCAAGCGTTTCGAGGATCGATTCGGAGACCGAAGCTTCGTATACCTCGCACTCGATGGTTCGGAGGAGCACCGTCTTCTTCAAGCGATAGTCTTGGTCGGAGAAGGGTGCGACTGCGAGGACCCTCTTGGCAATGCAATCCTTCTCGCGGTCTCGGAGAAGGAGCTCGATGACCCATCGCGAAACGTCGACGTCTGAGTCCATTGAACAAGGCAATCGTAACCCTAATTCTGCGAGAAGGGAAGAGAATTGAATGTCAGAGACTGAAAAGTGAAGGTCTTGAAGCACGCTGCTTTTGCTTATTTGGGAAGTTAGGGTTTTTTCGATGCAATAATTGGGAGCGACAGAAAAACGTTAGGGATTGGAATTTTTGAAAGGGGTGAGAGTTGATCATCGAAACGACGAACGTGAACGTCCTAAAGCTTTGAATTTGGGGCTATTTGTGATGATGCTAGACGAATTTTACTGTCTATAATCTGCTTGGTTTTTTTGTATCATGTGTGGGCCAAGACACTGTAAATTAGGCCTCGGATTTGAGCTTAAAATTTGGACCTCTAACTTAACTTGGGCTTCATTCATAGTCTTTCTTTTTTCTTTCCTTCTTTCAATTATCTCAAGAGAATTGTTATTCGCACTCTAAAAATCTCATTCTACACTCCACACTTTCTATATTTGGAAAGAAAAATACACTTATGAAGAGTTTAGAATGAAATTTTTGGAGTACCAATAACACTTCCCCTATCTTAATATGCAATTATTTTTAGCACTACAAAATAGTAGGGGTGGGTTGGAAAAACCGAAAATCGAAAAAAATCGAACCAAGTACCGAACTGAAACCAAAAAAATCTGAACCGAACTGAAAGTTATTGGTTCAGTTTCGGTGATTCAAAAACCAAACCAAACATAACCGAATTAAATATAATTAAGTTTATTTATTTATTTTATATTTGAGTGTTTATATTCCAAGCCAAATTTAAGTTTAGACCCAAGTTTTAAGCTTTTGTTTTAGACCAACCATTAACACATAATCCAAGTCCTTTTTTTTTTCTCCCTACCCAACCCTCTTCTTTCTTCCATTTTTTTCTCCCCATCTGACCCTTTGCTTTCTTCCTTTTTTTTTCTCCCCACCCGACCTCTCTACATCTTCATTCTCTTTCACTTTTTTTCTTCCTTTACTTTCTATGAAATGGAAAAACTGTGAGTAAAGTTGTAGAGCATAGGCCAATTTTCAAATTAAAAAAAAAATTAGGTTTTATAAAAAAAAAGGTACCGAACTGAAACCGAGCCGAAATTTAACCGAACCAAATAAAATTGAACCGAACTGAAATTTCGATTTTGGCAAAAAAAGGAACAGATTGAAACCTAACCCACCCCTACAAAATAGTTATGCTAGGGTTTTGTTTATAAAAAAGAAAAAGAAAAAAACAGCTCGTGGTTGCGCTACATAATTTTTTTTTTTTTTTCAGAGTTGGAAAGACTTACAGAGACATCAAGTGACAATAAAATATCCTATTATCATGAAATCTAATTTTCAATCATGACCATACATTCAATTTCACATACGAAATAGTTTTAATCAATAATGTAAGAATATCTCCACCAATCATGATAATAAGATGGTCATTTGTCTCCTTACATGAACTAATAATAGTGATTTGAAAATTTCGTACGCACAAATAACCGATATCATTAGCCACTTAAATAATAATTAGTATCTCAATGCAAAGTGACCACATGCTGACTTATCCAACTTACCAAAATTGCAATTGAAACCCTAGGGAATGTGTGACGGAATAACATAAAGTACCTTGAAGCACCCACATGAAAGGAATAAATTCCACCCCCGTCCCGAGTTGAGATCGTGCTCTTCCTCCTCCAAGCTGCTCCAAGACCCCGACTGAGTGTCAAGACCCATAGCAGTGGAGAGAACTCGGAGAGCTTCCTTCAGCCGACTCCGTACTCTCTCCCTCTCTCTCCGACAATGGCTCGCTGCACTTTCAAATCGGACGATATCATAATAAAGTCCCCGAATGACAGACGATTATACAGGTTAATCGAGCTCGAGAACGGCCTCTCTGCATTGCTCGTTCACGATCCTGAGATTTACCCAGAAGGGCCGCCGGAGAACTCCAAGTACGTCGCGCACAGCGAAGCTGAAGAGGAAGAAGAAGATGATGATATGGACGACGGGGATGGAGAGGAAGGGGAAGACAGTGAAGGAGAGGACGATGAAGAGGACGATGACGATGAAGATGAAGAAGCGGAAGGCAGAGATGGTGAACTGAATAAGGGGAAGGGAGGAGATTCTCAGACTAAGAAAGTTGGTATTTCGATTTACATTGAAATTGTGAAATTGCCCATCTCGCATTCAAGTTTATTCGATTTAATTTGATTGAAAAGTGAAAACCCTGTTGGAGAAACTTGATGAAATCGGTTTTACAATGTTAACAAATTGATTTTAGGTTGAAAAACAATATGAATTTTTGGTTGAATGATTGATTCCAGATTATAGTAACTTCAAGTTTTGAACTTTTACTTGGTTACTGCTTCAAGATTCCACCATCATTGTTTTTTCTGATAATCTTTAGCTATCGACCATTGGTACCTTCGTACAAATTTCATTTAAAATAATGATGAAGCTTTGATAGTATAATTCCAAGTACTGAGAATGGCACTGGTCTTTATTCTACTCTAATGATTGGGATGATTTTTACTCAGCCCGGTTAGCAGAACTTGATTTATGTGAAGATGTTTGGTCGTATTTGCAGGCAGCAGCAGCGATGTGCGTTGGAATAGGAAGCTTCTCCGACCCTTTTGAAGCACAGGGGCTTGCGCATTTTCTAGGTTTGTGTTACACATGCTTACATGCTTCATAAAAAGATGTACTTTTGAATGTTGAGGCATGCATTACTGACATGTCGAATGTTTTGCAGAACACATGCTCTTCATGGGGAGTACAGAGTTTCCAGATGAAAATGAGGTCTGTTTGTACTTGGAGTATTCTTTTCAGTTTTTAGGTGCCAATTATCTTCGTTTTTTTTTTTCGCAAGTCACTTCGAGATGCACATGATCCTTTGTGCTATGCACCATAAATGAGGTGTACTGACTGTGTATGGAAATAGTTACGCCGCATGAATTTTCCCTCAATACAGATTGCTAGATGTAATCTCACTATTTATATTTACTCGTCCATAAGCAACATCATGAGCCTGCTTAGTTCTGTTTCTTATATAAATTTAAAAAAATAAAAAAAAAAAAAAATAAAAAAAAGCATCACCAGCATGCTTGTTCTATGTATATGTGAGTGGGAGGACTTGTTTGTTCTTTTGCTGCCCACCTGCTCGCAGATGGGTCAGGCTGTATGGAACAACTAATTCAGCCTATGATTGTGTCATTTGTGAAAGGTTGCTCCTTTGTGACCGAAAGGTCACGGGTTCAAGTCGTGGAAACAGCCTCCTTGCGTAGTAAGGGTAAGCGGTTGCGTAACGTTCCCTGGCCCCTAACTCTCGCAAAGCGGGGAAGTCTTGTTGGCTTGGGGTCGCCCTTTGACTTAAACCTTATAGGAATCGATGCCATTTCAGATTTATTATAGAAATTGTTTATGGTAGTTTTTATCTTCTTTTCTGCTTATTGTTTAATTGTAAAAAAGATATTTAAAAGTAATCTGTTCTACTTGCTACAACATTTATTAAAATTTCACTCAAGTTAAATAGGAGAAGTCTGTATGCCTTTGTTTGTGGCCACTCGTTTTGACTCTTCTCTTTGCTAGTATGATAGTTACTTGTCCAAGCATGGAGGTTCATCAAATGCATACACAGAAGCAGAGCATACCTGCTACCATTTTGAAGTGAAGCCAGAGTTTCTTAAGGGTGCCTTGAGAAGGTAAACTCTGAGCTCTTCATGCTTTGAATATTATAAGCTGAAGTCCTTGGTATTGAGTATGTATTTTGGTCAATGAAACAAGGCTATAGGTTTTATTGATGCTTCATGCATTGACATTGAATCTTGCATTTGCCTCAGCATTTGTAGTTGAAAATATCTATGATTGTCATACTTTTGTTTCAAAACGCAATATGGCTAGGAAAAGTGTAGGTTAAATCATTAGATTATGTGTCATTTATTTATTTTTTATGATTTTCTGAATGCATGCTAGTGATGTTACTTAGGGGTGCAGTGCACAACCATATAAAAAATGTTGGAATGGAACTATGGGGGTGAGGTTTTCAGATTCATAAGGTCCAGCAATATGTTCCTTTTGGTTCCTCAATATCTGGCTCGCCATAGTTGTTTCACTGGATAAAAAATATTTATAAATAGTTTTTAAATTAATATGCCCAGTATAGCGTTCTGTGTTCGATATGTTCCAATTGCAATACATTTAGTTAATAGGATGTACTTGGCCCTTAGTATAGAATACTCTAGTTATATTTTTCTCTTTCAAAATTTCTGTTTTAGAAACCTGGTTTGTATTCATTATGGCTCTTTATTTTGTCAGATTTTCCCAGTTCTTTGTTTCACCTCTAATGAAAATTGAAGCGATGGAGCGAGAGGTACAAGCTATAGATTCAGGTGCATGCATGTCTTACCTACGGTTCTTGATTTCCACGTTTCTTAAAAAGTATCCAAGCTTTTTGCTTACAGTATTGCTCAGTGCAAATTTTCTAATGCTGAATGGTATTTCTTTGTTGTTAATCAAAATGGAATGCAGAATTTAACCAGGTTCTGCAGAATGATTCTTGCCGCCTTGAACAAATTCAGTGTCATACATCCGCAACTGGTCACCCATTTAATAGGTTCTCTTGGGGTAAAACTTTAATCCATTGTGCAATCTTAATCTTCTCTCTCTCTCTCTCTCTCTCTCTCTCTCTCTCTTTCTCTCTCTTACAATTTTTTTATGTTTGCTTGAAAGGAAATAAGAAGAGCTTGGTTGATGCTATGGAAAATGGGATCAACTTGCGAGAACAAATACTAAAATTGTACAAGGATTATTACCATGGTGGACTAATGAAGCTAGTTGTCATCGGTGGAGGTGAATATACTCCTTTCCTTTCCTTTTTTCTTCTGCTCTTTGTTCTTTTTTCTTCTACTGTTTTTTTTTTTTTTGGGGGAATGAATGTTAGTTAAAACCTATCAATTTTGTATCATGCACAACACAGGGCATGCTTGAATGGAAATAATGAAACATTTTCAATTTGACTTGGTGGATTTCAATCACATTACTTGTCTACTTAGGGTTTCTGTTCTGTAGATGATTGTTCTTTGAACTGGTAGAGTTTGATACTGGTGTTCACTATTAGTCTATTACACATTGGAATTTCGTCATTCATAGTGCTTTATTGGTGATACAGCTGTTTTGGCAATATTTATTGGCAAAAATTTATCTATTAGCGGTGAAGATGCAATTATTGTTGGTATCAGTCTTTAAATGGTGTGGTTTTGCCATAAAGCT